GACTCAAAAAGGCAGCTGAAAATTTAGATTGCAAAGTCTCACTGGTATCCACAGTGCATCTTCACTCATCACTCAGTGTTTCAGCAAGGACATCTTCTCCTCCCCCTGCTTGTTGATGGGGAAAGCAAGGCACAGAGTAGAGGGAGCACTTTGCCCTCAGTCACAGGACACGTCCTTGGGAGTCAAAACAGAGCCACTGGACCATGCTGCCTCCAGCGCCGTTTCATTCCTTTGTTAATAGATTAGCAGAAAATGGCCTTTGTTACTTCACTATCTTAGATGAACTGGAGAAAGAATCGCCGAGTAATATCGGAAACCATACTGGTTTTTTAGCCACCATAAAATAAGACGACGCAATTATGGGTGGATTGTTTCCGATTTGGGATGGGCAGTTCCAGACAGGAATTTTTAGGCCAAGTGTCAGGCAGATAAGAGACAGACACACAAGCTATGAACCACTCTCATCCCCGGCTTATAAACGGCAATGTTTCTGTGCTCTGCTAAAACTGAACGCTGAACTGTACTTTTAGCTTCCTGTGGAGTAAGCATCTTGGCAGGCCCGGAGACCTCGGTCTAGAACTTCGCACTAATTATTGCTATTTCCAGGGTGTTGCAGGTCCTTGTTGTTTTACAACACTGGAGGCAATGCACAGGGATGGTATTTTTACCCCTGCAGCACGTAAATTTAGGAGAAGATGAATCTGTGCATTCAAAGCAAGCTTTTCTCTGCCGCATTGTTGAGGTCATGGCCAGCACCACGACCGGCGTGGGCTTGACCAGGGTTGAGGTTAGGGGGATGGATGTGTAAAGCCTGTTGCCAACCTGGCCCACACAAAGGGCATGCTTTCGATATCTGGGTTGGGCATACGCCTAAAATACGACTGGAATCAAGCTGCTCTTCTTGTCTGAGTCCCAGCATTATTAGCAGTTTAGCACCCTCTGGTGGAAAACCTGTTTGAGGTCTCTCTTCTGGACACTTTAAAATTCAAGTTATCGGATTGTGTTCTTAGCAGGCCAGTCGCTGCTGTAGGCTGGCCAGCCCCGAGTGTTCATGAGTCAAGCGCTGAAGCCATGAAACTCTTCCAAAGAACCTCAGGTTTTTGAATCAACTGGGTCTTAAACACCTCCAAGGACGGAGCATCCACCACCTCTCTGGGTTGCTTGTTGAATCAGGAGAGCAGACAACACGTCTAGGCGCTCTTCTGACATCCTGCATCCTCTTCCTGCTCTTCTACTATTTGCATGTAGGAGAATAGAGTTGGGCCACTGCCTGCATTGCAGTTTGCACACACAGAGCGGCACGCAGGATTGGACCTTCACATTTCTCCCGTGCAGAGTAAGGATCTGATCCCACAAAGAACGTGACTTTCAAATGCAGGATCTAATCCTGCAACTTTCCGGGTAATGGGTGACTAGGCCCCACGTGGCAGTAGGAATTTGGAGGGTCAGAATCAGTTGTCTCCCTTTTAGATTTTTTTAAGCCAAAGGCTCAGAGCATGTGCTCCATAACTAATTTCCTTTTCATTTCAACTCCTTGTGATTCCTCCCCTGTGGGGGTTAAATATTAGGTTCTATTTATATCATTCAATGTTTTAAAATTATTTTTCTCCTTTACTACATCTGTTTTTAGTGGCTCATTACCGACTATCGGATCCAGGCTCTCCTCTGCCAACCAGCTGCAGATTTCCATTAGATTTGTCTAAATACAGTTTACCCCAGCGCTTAAGATCACATTGCACGGATCTTGGCTTTGGAATGAAGACCCTTAGGGGAGGAGACATAATGCAGAGGAATGGTGGGGAAGAGGATGGGGTAACCGATGAAAAATAGGTTTTAGGGCCCTGTTCTTTGGGAATATGTTTGGACTCCTGGACGAAGAACGTATGCGAGGTCTCTGTGAACTAGCATTAGCTAAAAGTTTGGTCTGTGTCTGTCTCTAAGCTGGCACGTGCAAAGGGAACTGGTCCTCCCTCACTGGGCTTTGCTGGATGGTGAATGGTTTCCTGTTTTTCCAACTCGAATTGTTCCCGTTTCCCGTGTCATCTCGTCAGGAGGTTGACATGCTCCCAGCTCGTGCATTTGCTGGTATTGTGCCTGACAGCTGAACTTTTAGTCTGCAAAATAGGCAAAAGAAACAGAACCAAGATTATCAGGAGTAGGAGGGGAAAGGAACTAAACTGAAGACAAGGTCACTGATGGGCTTTTTGTACATCTATACAAAGAGTCCTTTTTCCGTTTATGCTGCTGGCATAAGTCTACGTGCATTATAGCAGATTTAAGGGTCTTCAGCATACCATGAACAATATACAGGCCTCCCCTTCTACTTATAACAGTAAATTACATAGGCTCACATTTTCAAAAGTGTTTTTGGGTGCCTTGGGTCCCCCCTACCTTGCAAGAAAACCATCTTCAGGATGTGCTGAATGCCTGCCCTGTAAAAACCAGGTCCCTTTGAACCTGGATGCACACAAGGAGAAACGGTGATATGATATCCTGAATTACTAGTAGCTTTTGAAAATTTAGGCAGAGAGAGATTTGAGAGCGGGATCGCTGTACGCTGATGTCCTAGTGGCATTGAAAAGCCATAGGAGATAGGTATTCCTTTGAAAATACCAGGCTAAATTCTCTAGGATACAGGGATTAACGAGTCATCAAATCAGCAGCTGACATTGTGTCAGTTTGATTATGCAGATTAAGCTGGTCAAAAGGCACAATCCAGCAGCTGGGAGGTCCATTTTTATTTAACTGAGGGGAGGGGTCATTTAACTATAGTGGGTTACCAAGAACACTTTGGGATTCCCGGACAAAGATGTCAGTTCTGTTCAGAGCCCGTCACCGGATTGGAGAGCTTCCTGGAAAGATCGTTAAAATGCCACATCATCACTAGCAGTTGCAGTGCTGCTAAAACAGCCACAAAATCTGCATAGGGCCTTACCTTCATCTGCACGTGGCTATATTGACTATGCTCAAGGAGTAATGCTGATTTGTACTAGCTGAGAATGTCATGTATTTAAGGCAAATGCATCCTTTCGGTTAACAGTGGTGTAAATCCAGAGTAACTCCACTGACTGGCTTCTCCGATGCTAACTCCCCATGCAAGAGCAGGCACGGGCTGGAAAGTTATTTTAGTGGGTCGCTGGACTTTCATTAAAAGCCAACTATAAAAAGAAAAAGCCTTTTTAGAAGAAAGATCCGGAAAGGGAAAAGCATGTTTTTCGAGATAAAGGGAGATGAAAGAGTCCCATTTAGGAAGCTTACAATAGAAATCAAGAAGTTCAGCTGCCAAGTCAGAAATTTCATGGCCTTATGACCAGGCAAAATTTCTTTTTATTATCTTCTTCCCACAGTACAGTAGCTGTAAATGCCAGAGCATTGGCATAAGAGTTCCCTTTTCTCTGTCCAGACAATCCAACCCTTTGGGGAAAAAACTACTCGGGCAGAAGGAAGTCAGAGGCCTGGCTTGCCTGGGCGTCACAAGAGAACAGGAACAGGCCAACGGGCAAGAATGGATCCAGAAGCAGGGTGGATTCAGACTTAGACTTGTAGACAGCCAGAACCTGCACTCAAAATACATTTGCTGAACTGGTATAAAACTCAGGTTTCAACATGATTTTTGCTACCATTTAAGTGTAGCATTTTTCAAAAGGAGCCACTGGTTTTCGCTGAGAAGCGCCTTCACAAATCCCAGTCTTATGTGTGGTTCAACCACCCAGCTTGCATAGAACATGTCAAACAGCCTTCTAAGCTAAAATTATCCCTCCCAGCCTTAGAAGAAACCATAAATAGGAACATCTGGGAAGGCAGTAGCGAAAGACATTGGAACAGGAGAGCTTTGCAAAGGAATGGGGACGCGGGCTTTGCTAATGCACAACAATTTGCGCTCCAAAACAGGAACAGTTCTCATGACCGTTATCCCTTTCCTGCCGGGAGGTAAAATACACTCAGCGAGAGAGAATTCCCCCCCCCCGCAGCCTCTCCCTTGACTGGAGATAACCGGTGATCTGGCTTGGGGGCTGAGGTTTCAGTTGGGGTTTTTTTTGGTTTCCCCGTTGGCTGCTGCTTTGCTGAGCAGTTGGAAATTCATTTGTTTTTCCACTTGGCTATCTGTCATTGAATTGGTGGCTTTTGTCCCTAGCTGAGCCACTGGCTCCTTGCATTTAGCTGTCCCTGGAGGACAATGCAATGGGGACGTTTCTACCCCCTTAGGAGCAAGCTAGAACCCAGGCCAATGCCCGTTTCACTGACCCACATGTCCTGCTCTCTTCCTCCTGGCTGCCCAAGGGGCCATCCCCAAAAAAAGCATAGGAAGAGGGCCTGGCTTGTGGTTTGGCGGCTGAAGCACAGAGTCAGGGATACAGGTTCAAACGCCCCCTGAGCAACAGGGGGTGTGGATCTAGGACCCCAGCCCCCCATTTCTTGGGCACGTGCCCCAAGCACTCAACTACTGAGGCTAAAACACAGCAGAAAGGGGCTCCTCCGTCCGGTATTCAATAACATGCAGCACCCTCCACGCCCGATGCCCCATGCCAGCCACAGCAATTGCCCCTGCAGTTCTGCCTCCTGGCCACCAGGGGTGGCAGAGCTGCTCTCCCCCATTGCACCTGCCCCCTGGCAGAGGAGCCAGAATAAACTAATTAAATCCACTGTACTGGCCGACTCAAGTACTATCCTATAGTGGAGTTATTTACTCTGCTGCAACACATGTGTAGATGATGACTGGGGCAGGTTGGGGCATGAGGGTGCTACCTGCCTGCTAGCCCCATGCAGTAGCACCATCGTGCCCCAGCCAGCCCCTTTGCAGCACGCTGAGCTGGGGTAGAGCAGCTCCGGGCTGGCAGACTGACTGCCTGGGCCCCCTGCCAGCCAGGGCTGCGGCACCCCAGCTCAATGTGCTACGGTCCCAGGCACACGTGTAAACATGATACCAGGGAGCACAGTCAATATAGCCACATGCAGATGAAGGCTTGACCTATTCAGCCCTCTCTCCCTGCTGGCACGTTTGAGTCGATAACCCCACAGACTAACAGAGGCTTCATTTTCATCCAGGCAGCAGTCCTATGTCTTCTCTTCCTGAATCTTTTGGCCAAAACCAGCCTGGTGAGCTCACCAGGGGGTCAAGGGTGGAACATCAAAGCAAATGACCCTTGCATTGTCCCTTAGGTGTTGGGAGATGAACAGCCATCCAAAACCATTGTACTCTTTCCTGCTTGTATGCAGGCAGGCTTTTCCTGAATTCAACTGATGTATCCATGCCATAAACCCCCTTAGACACTGTATTCATAATAAACAAACAGATGCTCCATTTCCATCAGCCGAGGGAATAAATTCCTTCCTTTCTGCACACTTGCCCTTGTTCAGAGAGCAAAGGATGCAACATGCATCCTTTGCAAAGCAAATACAGGCTTTTTTCTCACCAGAGTGAAATGTCACCCTGGGGACAGCGATCAACTTGACAGTTGGATGAGTAGACAGCAGATTTCTTTCTCCAATGCTTTCAGTCTAGTACCTTTTACCAGCATTAAATGCACAAGGTACAGGACAGATTGCAAGCTCTGTGATGCAGGGATCCCAGTCATGACCTGTAACTTTCTACAGCATCAAGCACGGTCCGGCCCTTCTGTGCTGATGCCTCTTGGCGTCACTCCATCACAGTAACTTATTTGAGTTAATTCACCAGCTCTCCATGCAAGGATAGAGAACATGCTTCTATTTATCAAGCTTAGGATTTTCAAAGAAGCTTTATGTAGACTGAAGGTTTTTTTCCTCCCAAACACGAGCTTAAATACATAGAGAGAAACAGACAATACCTTAAAGTACCTCCACCATCAAATTTCCCTTCAAAAAAAGTTAAATAATAGGGCAAGTCTATTTTGCTTCTAATTACTTATACTTCTGTTCCTGCTTGAAGAATTAAAGGCTACAGTGCTGTTCTGTTTGGGCTTTAGGTAGTGCAGAGAAGCATTTTAAATATTCCATATGTATAATTCATGCTTTATTTTGATTTTGATTGCAGGATCAGGTCCCTAGAGTGTACCAGAGATTTACATGAGTAGCTTCTCCTCTGTTTAGTCCCACTCAACCTAATGGAATTATTCCCATTAGTAAGTCCATCTCTATACAGCTAGTCCCATTAAAGGTACCACCTAAATCCAAAAAAACTTTTGCTTCTCACATTAGTAGAGTATTTGCAGGAGTGGAACCACTCAATCTTTGCTCAATATGAGACGTTTGTTGGGAGCTGTCACTCAAAATAGAAAAATGAAATATATATGCTGCTCATTCTAGGTTCTGTGAAGGGAAGGAGGAGTATTTAAGCGACAGACAGTGTTTTCTACCAGAATAGCATATTCCACAGCAGCATGGTGAGTACACTGACAAGTTTAGTATAGCTCATTGGACATCATTAATTAGCTTTGCATATGTTATTGAACTTGACTTTAATTCTTTTAGAGACCATTTCATCTTTTTTTTCCCCATAGGTAAAATGTAAAATGTGCTGCTTGTGAGTAGTTTTACAAAATTGTTGCAACAAATACAATCTTGTACACGATGAGAAAGTACCTCACAGCAAGGGGGATTCTTTATAAAGGAAATTATTTTTAGTTACAAAGATCATAGAATCATAGGAAATGAGGGCTGGAAGGGATCTCAGGAGGTCACTTCTAGTCCAGCCCCCTGCTCAAAGCAGGACTATCCTCAACTACATTATCTCAGCCAAGGCTACATCTAGCTGGGTCTTAAAAACCTCCAAGGTTAGAGAGTCCACCACCTCCCTGGGTAACCTGTTCCAGTGCTTCACCGCCCTCCTAGTGAGAAAGTTTTTTCCTAACATCCAACTTAAACCTCCTTTGTTGCAACATGAACCCATTGCTCCTTGTCCTGTCCTCTGCCCCCACTGAGAACAGCCCAGCTCCATCCTCTTTGTAACCCCCTGCAGGGAGCTGAAGGCTGCTATTCAATCCCCTTTCAGGCTTCTTTTTTCCAGACTGATTCCCTTAGCCGCTCCTCAGAAGTTATGTGCCCCAGCCCCTGAACCAGTTTTGCTGCCCTCTGCTGAACTCTCCAATTTGTCCGCATCCTTTCTATAGTGGGGAAGAGGCGGGCAAAACTGGACACAGTCCTCCAGGTGTGGCCTCACCAGTGCAGAATAGAGGGGAAGAATCACTTCCCTCGATCTGCTGGCAAAGCTCCTACCAATGCAGCCCAGGATGCCATCAGCCTTCTGGCGCATGTCCAGCTTATTATCCACTGTCACCCCCAGGACCTTTTCTGCAGAGATGCTTCTTAGCCAACCAGTCCCAGCCTATACTGGTGCATGGGATTGCTCCATCCCAAGTACAGGATTTTACATTTGTCCTTATTGTACCTCGTGGGATTTCTTTTGGCCCAATCCTCCAACATGTCTAGGTCACTCTGAATCCTAGCCCTGCCCTCCAGCATATCTATTACTCCCCCCAACTCAGTGTCAACTGCACACTTGCTGAGGGTGCACAGCATCCTATCTTCCAGATCATTGATGAAGATATTGTTTTCGGGGGAGCAAATTGGTTGAATACTGACCTGGAATACTACCTTATACTTTCACATTCGAAAACAATCTTCCATTCATATTTCCAATATCATAATATAACAAGTTGCATTTGGCTTTATTGTGAAATTCATCATTCAGAGATCATCACAAATGAGCTCCTACAGTTTGGAAATTAAGTTTTTTGACAAACAGCTTGAAAAAAAGCCATCAAGTATTTGGTTAAAGTGATTAAAATTAGCAAGATGCTAGACAGCAGCTCCTATTGCCCCATTGTAATGAACATCCCATTTTAAAGCCAGTTTTAAACACCTTTGCAGGACGAGAACCTTGAAGATACAACCTGCAGCAACATCAGATCAATTGCCAAGGATCTGACCAACTTAGTGACTTGGGCGCACACTCATGGAACAATATGCAATCAAATCCCAGCCTTGGAAATTGTACAGGGCATGGACCGGCCCACCAGGGACAATTCTGTTCTATGGATATGTGTCACTGGACATGCCTATCACTGGCGCTGCGGCAGGGCACTGTACTTCAGAAGCAGGGAGGAAAGCGTAGAACAGAAGAAGAGGCCCCAAACCTCTGATTCCTGCTCAACAGAGCACAATTTAAGCAAAAAGAGATACAGGGTAAGCTCACTGAAAGCCGATTCTGAGAGCACAGGATGCCACAGCAGATCTCCAGGGATAGCTCAAAAGAAAGAAGCCAATATGTGCTTCATAGCATGTGATATAGCAGTGCCACCAGAAAACCAGAGTGGACTTATTCCTCTGAAAGACAGCAACTCCACAAGACCGCGCTGCACCGCAGAGCAGAACATGCTATTAATGGCTAGCCGTGCCACAACCGACCAAGGTACCGGGCTGACAAAAAGCATGGAGGACCTGCAAGACATCTCTGATGAGGAACAGTTTGAAGCAGAGGAAGGACCCAAAATAAATTGGAATATTCTTTCAGACACACAGAATAAAGAAGACTTGGCTGAGTATGAACTGCAAGTGCAAGGCGATAGGAACAGAGGGAGTAGCCAGGATACGGCCACCCAGACATCTATTTCTGTCTGCAAAGGGAAGGCTGTGACGACCCCCTTTTTACAAGAGATTTTAGAACGCAGCAGTCCAGAGAGCCTGGAAAACCACTGCTTGAATTTAATTGTTCCTCCTCCTGCTAAGTCCAGAAGCAAAACCTCTGGAGCAGGGAATCCCTCTGAATCAGCAGTGTCTAAAGAGCAGTTAACAGCAACTCCCATCCCCAGCATGGAAACTAGGGCCCCGTTTGAGCCCCCTGTATTTAGAGCTTTCCGTGACTCTGCACCACCTGGCGTGGTCCACCAGCTGTGCCCTTCTGAGCACGCTACGTCGGGGACGGGGTTAGTCGGGAATGCTGCCGAAACACCGGGCGGGGAAAGCAAACAGTCAGGATCCCAGACCGCAGCAAGTGCTTTAGCTTCACCTGCTCCAGAGAATGAAAGCGCCAAGGACGGCTTGCCTGCACCTTCAAACAAAAGTAAGAGTGTCTGGAGTTTTATTCCTACATGGGTGGTTTTAAGCTCTTCAGCTGCTGTATTCAACCTTGCGTGGCTTTGTTCAGCCACCCATATCTGTATTTGGATACCTAACAGTGCCTGATGTTCAGAGGTGCTGAGCACCTTGGGTGCTACTAGGCACTTCAAACAAGCCTCATTTCAGAAGACTGGGCCGCAAGTTTGGGTGACCAAACATAGATTTGGCTGGCTAGTATTAGCACCTGTGTTTGAACATTTTGGCCTTTACATTTTACTACAGTATGCTTCAGGGAGATGTGTCGCAGTGTGGTCAAGGAGTCTCACTAGGGCTCTGGGGGTATGTGACTGAGGGCTATTCTGCACTCTCTACTGAACCAAGCTGTAAAATGGGCACCTCCTCAGTAGGGCTGTGGTCAAAGGCAACAAGCCACATCATTCCCTCATGTGCTGTTGGCTACAGAAACAGGCATGCCTTCACCATGCTAGCTCCATGGGCCTTTGATCACATGCATAGTACCAGCTGCACATAAAACTACAGTCCTTGCAGTTAATGGCACCCAGGAGCATGAACTCTGGTCTCAGAAGGAAAGAGAAAGACAAAGTGATTTTTAAAAACAAACCAAGTTCAAACATCACAGGTGCAACTCTGCCTCCACTGAAGTCAGTGGCAAATTTCCCATAAACTTGCATGAGACCAGAGATTCATCCCACATCTTGGAGCCCAAAAGGTATAGATGCAGTTTAATAAAGAGATTTAAAACGTGTTCTGGCCAGGATGTGGGTTTAGCTATTGTTTCTGGTAGTCAAACAATACTCAAGCATTTTTCATTTGTAAAATTCACTCCTTGGTAGAGGCCACTCAGACCGCTTTTCATCAGATATTTTTACATGACACGGTGTCACAAGACTCTTGGTAAGACTATGCTCTTGGACGAAGAACTGAGAACCCTGCCTTGTGGCTGTTTGAAACCCTCCTATGAACAATCACGGTCTGTACAAAAAGACATAATAATTACACCCTGTGCATGTCTAACAAGCAAATACCACTTTTGTCAAATATTGGGAAGTCCATTAGTGAAATGATCCACTTCCTTTCCTAAATGATCAGGTTTTTTTGCCACCTGTGGCTAATCTGCTGGCATACTGGAATCAGTGGCCCATTAAAAATACATTGCTTCAACTTTGGCGATTAGTGCACATTAAATAAGCGAATATTTAATGATGCTATAAAAAGAGCAAGAACATTTGAACCTGTAATCGTCAGCGTGCTTGCAAACTGTTTCACACAATTACAGAGTAGCTGAACATCTCCCTGATTTGAATGTGGGTCGACATTTGCAGACAACTCTGAAAAAAAAAATTGGGAAAGCAGTTTTGGAAGTTGGAGCTCTGCTCCATCCAGCTGCTTAGCATTGTGACTCCATTGAACTGCAGCCTGGCTACCAAGAGCAACCTGAATATGATGTTTACTAGAAACGCACATCTGGATTTTGAAGCAAACCTGTAGCCTCTAGGACTTAATGTCTGGCAGTAAATAGCATATTTGGGCCATTGCTTGCTGCTATGGTGAAGCTTCGTTCATTGGATTTGTATAATTCTTGAGGCCAGCACCTACAAAGTGAGCTAAATGAAAAATCATTGTAGACTTTTGCTGTGTTAGGGCTTGTAACACTGTTGGGAAGTTTGCACATTTCAGTAAAAGAAAACTGAGCGTATAGTTAAGTTAGGTGGTACTTTCAATAGAGTAAAGCTGCCATAGGTTTGACATTGTTTTGAAGAAAAGAAATTAAATGCTGAAATAGCACTCCAGGGCTCATATTCACTTGGAAGTTTATTCAGACTGAGGTAGGATGTGAATTTAAAACACAGTAGGTCTCCCCGAATACTTCCATATGTGGACTCACTCATTCTAGGTGTAGCTAAAGCCTTACAAACAATAAAAAACCCCGACGCACAACTACAGTTTGCATGCATATTGCTGAAATTGGGGAAAAAAAAACAAACCCATCTCTCATCAGACACCACTGTGAAGTCCTCTGAGAGGATCTTTGCAATGATCATTTCTGCCAGACAGCAAGATAAATGGCTTGCAGCTCAATACAGAGCTCAGCTTCCAGTCTCTGCATTTATTGATTCACATGCCATTTCTGTCTTTGCATACACCACTCAGTAGCTTTAGCTACCAACCCCAGCCATCAGCTGCAGGACCCCACCCTGCGCCCACCTCTATTGCACAGACTCTGGCGTGGTGGGGGGAATAAGAAAAGACAAAGATCTATGCAGACCTGGATACCCTAAAGACAACCAAATTTGGGTTGTTTAATATGTGCAGGGAAGTGAGATCATGCAGACATGCAGCAAAGGCAAAAGGCCATGAAAAATGCCTTATAATAGATGGTGTGCTACCTTTTGCACGTGTGACTTACCAAATGGATGTATAGTTATCATCCCTTAGTTCACATTACAACCATGCACTTTTAGGGTGGCTAACATGAGATGGACCACAACAAGACCTTGCATCCAAAAGAAAAGGCAAAAAACAGGATACGTGCACCCTCAACAATTGCCCCTACCAAGAATCCCACTACCAAGCTGCTGCCATATCCATTAAGACCCCCAAGATATATGCCTATGCCTAGTGCACTTTCTGTGATGGGTTTCTCCCTACTCTTTAGGGCATCTGCAGCAGGCAGCAAGGCTTAGATCGTATTCTGGCCCTCTGCAAAAGGAGTGAATTTTTACCCTAAGCAATTTGCTTCTTAGAAAACACCGAACTAGAACGATATGGATGTGCTACTGCCATGACAACCTGAGAAAGAAACTCAGGTGGAATCCTGGCAGTCCTGTTTGAAAAGATGTTTTTATTCACTTTTTCCTACTAGAGACAGGCCCTTTTTTACTTGCAGGCCCTCCGGCTAACTTTTAGCTAACATTTTCTGTTTCATGAACAGAGCTGTATTTCCCTCCTCTTCTGAAGCAGCTTCCATTCTGGCTCACACAGTGAACTATAATCTATATGATGATTAGCATGACACTCTGAACATGTAAGTCAGATCCTGAGGCCTGCATGCCTGTCCTTTCACAGCATCTGATGAAGTGAGCTTGACTGCACAACAGCTTATGCTCTCTCTCCATTTTATTTGGTTAATTTGGTGCATATAGACATTGCCTTATACCTTCACCTGTATGCAGGCCAGCTCCCGTTGCCTTCACTGATCCAAATTTACATGATAAAATATACATCTGAGTGTTTGCAAGTGGAGAAGAAAGTTCATCTGCTGCTTTTGGGATAGCTAAGGTTTGGAATTCGAGGTGCAGCCTTGCAGGCCTTAGTTAGGTGACTGGACCCATAAGGAAGTGCAGTCTGGGTGTGCCCTCAATGAATCATAATCAGACTGGGTAAAAATCACCCCATTCCCAACATGCAGGCAATTCAAGTTCCACCTTAAATCCTATTTTAAAAGGCTGAGGGTGGGTTGAACTTATTGCTGTGCTGGGATGCATTTTACAAGCCACTGAGTGGCATGAATTCACACCTGGCCTAACACTACTCCCATAGAATAAAACAAGCTCAAACCAATATGACCGGGTACAGGAACTCCACTGAGTGACACAGGGCTCCTGGTCTTCTCCAATTAAAAAACCCCCCCCCCCCATTTTCAGTTAAAAAAAAAAAATGTAATTCCAAATCCACATTTTTCCACAATTAAAATGAAATGCTGCTATATACATATCTATATATTAGTTGCATTTCCTTTAAACCACAGAAAATTTTGGATTTGGGATTACTTTTTTTTTTTAAACCGCAAATTGGGGATTTGTTTAAATCGGAGAAAACCAGGCTCCCTGGTGACGAGGACACCGTATTACCTACCACCCGCAGAAGAACAGTGCAGCAGCAAAGGCAGAAATTCCAGCATAGGTGTCAAAGTACAGGCAGGGGTAAAACAGTTCAAGAAGAGGCAGGCAGGAGGACAAGAACCCCAACTTAATGGGATCCTGCTCCCTTTAATCCTTTAGAGGTACGTGAACACAACTCTGCATTTCCCTTACTCTCTAGAGTTGTCTCTTATCTTTTAGAGGTAGTGAGGAAGTCAGAGAGCAAGAGAATCCGTAACATCAGCGACATAAAAATGTTCAGAGACTGGCTGGCATTACATTACCCCTCTGAAAAGCGGGAGATCTTCACGCTGCCGCCAGAAGCCCTCGATAATTACCTAGCCTCGTTCTACACTAACGTCAGGAAGCAGAACGGCGCCGAGTTCTCGGCCAGCTCCTTATTCTTCTTCCAGAGCAGTATAGAGAGGTACCTCAAGGAACACAAGTACGAGTATAGCGTGGTGAAAGGCTTTGAATTCGCAGCATCTCAGGAAGCCTTAAAAGTGAAAGGCCAGCAACTAGCACAAAAAGAGAGGGAGAGAGACTGGAGTATCCTGGAAAACCTGACAGATAGAGACGTCGAGGATCTTCGCAAGAAAGGCATACTCAGCCGAATGCATCCTGAAGGATTCCTGCACTTAATGCTTGTAAACATTGTTAGAGGTTTCGGGGCAAACACGCACCATCAGACCCAGAATCTGTGGTGGGGGCAGGTTTTATTGAAAAAGAACAAGGAGGGAGTAGAGTACTTGGAGTGGAAAGAGAATCTGAATGCAAAGGCAAATCCAGAGGAGTCAGGTCTATGCATATATGCCAAGCCTGATAATCCAGGCAGTTGTCCTGTCTGGGACTATAAGGAGTACGCTAGGAGGAGGCCTTTGGATATGTTTCACGATCATGATCCATTTTACCTCTCTCCTAAACCTTTGTGCTCCATATGGGACCAAATCTGGTACTGTAGAAAATCACTGACCAAAACCAAAATGGAAAAAATGATGAAAGTCATCATCCAGCAAGTTAAAGGATCTGAAAAGAGGTCCACCAAGTAAGAGGGTCAGTTTGATTTCTGCATCCCTATTTTGGGAGAAGTTTTTTTTGGTCCAGTAATTTTAGAATCGTTTAACATGGCAGCACTTAGTATAGGTAGACAGAAACAGCTCCTTTCCTCGGAGTTTGGCATAATGACTTTAAATTGGCTTTAAAATTACCATCACCTTCATTTTCCGATGAAGTGTAGGGCTTCCATCAATAGCAAGAGCCAGAGCAGAATGCATTATTCAACACACAATGCAAGCATGAAACATAATCCCAGATTTAAACCATTAATGTTCTGCTGAATTATTAGCTCAGTGCCTCAGAGAGTAATGTTTATGTTAACAGGGCCCATATTTGAACAATATGGCTAAGAATTACAGGTATGTGCGGTTTAGGGAGGGCTGGAACTGACCCAATTATAAACTGTATTTAGCAGCAGTCTTGTGTAACATCTCCTTTTATAAGGAAAAGCTAAGTAGGTGGAGTTGGCTTGGGGAAGGAGGGGAAGTGATGAAATACCATCAATGGTTGCCACATACTAATCTATAGCTATTCAGAGTGTTTTAAACAGTGTTCAAATTAATTCTCTCTCTCTTTTCTTTTTCTAAGAGGGGGAAGGAATCTTAGATTTACTTCGTTCTGTGTTTTAGGAAGTTACCAAAGCCAGCGAAATGTTTTCTAACAAAAGCTATTTCCTTCAGTCTAGCAGTTCTTGTTTTAGGAGATTATAGCCAATGCTTTGATTTATTCAGAGTTCTTCAATGTCTGTATTTTCTTAAAGTCCGGTTACAATTGTTGGATTGCTGGCATCTCTTAATAAATTCAGTTTGACTTGATCAGCATCGGCCTCCCCAGAGAAGGTGAAATCAGTAGCCCAGAGCTGGCAATCAGGTGGACCAAAAGACTTGCCTGTTCACTCCCACTGCTCCCATCACATTTCCACTAAGATGATCAACCACAGACTTGTCTTCAAGTGGGTCCCATTTGCACTGCAGAGCAGATCATGCAGCTGGAACCCTTTGTGGGAAGCCCTCCTGAGACTCCAGAAACCTAAGATCTCTATGGGTCACTCCTTTGGTAGGGTCCAGTCCCCTCCACAGCAGCATTTAAACTGTAGATCTCAAGAATCCTTTACAAAGGATAAAGTGAGCATTGCTCTCCCCATCAACAAGGCACAGACAGCTGAACTTCCTCAGCTAAGTGCCTAGAAGATCTTAGCTTGCCTTTCCTGCACTTCATGGTGTTATCGCAAAAGCCTGAATCGGAGCAATCTGTCACCAATTTGGGGCACTGTGTGTGTCCCAATGATGCACAGACACACATGCACATATAGGTTCTGGGTAAGAGGCAGCGTGAGCAGGGACCGTTGCCAAACCGATCTGCAAGCCACATGAAATCCAAAAAAGTCAACCCTTTCCCTGGCGGATTGGGTTTTATTAATAAAGAACAAAACAACATGATAACAATCAGCCTTAATCCCTTTTTTTCAGGCCTGGTTGCTTAGTGCACACCCTAGAACAGCGATTCTCAGCCCTTGAGATCCTTTAAAGGGTGTCAAGAAGCCCTAGAAGATAAGCAGAAAAGCTAAGCAGATAGGCACAGGCTCAGACTTGTCCCTGCCTGGCACATCCCCTACATCCACTGTCTGGCCCCTCCGCAAACAGGTCAGCATTGCACTATATAAAGTTAGCATTTGAAATGGGGTGCCACTCCACTCACACATGGTCAAAGACCCACTCCCTTAAAACCTCCCCGCCTAAAGATCACCTCTTGCCTCCCTTATAGTCAGATAAAGTAGGCAGCAGAGCCCAGTTAACCTTTTAGGAGCCAAAAACACGGCTACAAAAAACAGATCCCTGAAATATCAGCATGGGTTGTTATGAGAGGAACCTGCTCAGCAGACAGTTAACAGACAACTTTGAGCAAGGCTTCTGGAAAGACCAGCCCACAGGCCAGGAAAAGAAGTGCCTCAGGCAAGATGCACTTCAACCTTGCTTTCCCAAACTAAAGGCACAGCAGCCTCTACATATTAACCCACCCAAGGGCTCTAGTCCAGTTTCACTCCTGGGCACAGGATGGAAGAAAATGATGCATACCTGACAGGTTAACACCCTGCTGCTAGGTGCTCGGGTATCACGGCAATGAAGGTGATGCAAATGCTTCTATAACCTAAGGAGAGGTCTAGAAGTTCTAAAGATAAGGAGAGCAGCACCAGTTCCTCTAACAAGCTTTGTGCCTCATTCCCTAGCCTGCTTGGACTGAGGGCTCAGGTGCAGCCTGTTTGTACAGGACTTGTCAGCGCATTGCATTTTTTCACATCCCCGTGGTGCTCCTAAGCTAAAAATCTAGTTAAGTGCACTTTGCCTGCCTGGGTAGCATTCTGCCTAGATTTCCTAAGTGAGGGATCTTCAAGGGTTTCATTGCTACTTGGCACAGAGCAAATAAACGGGAGAGCCATTTCATGTGCAGAAGCAGCAAGACACTCAACACCAGCAGTGAAGCAGCGCTAGCAGTCCTGCGGCTTCTCATGGCTCAAATTGGACTAGTAGCTGCAAGCTGCTCCTTAGCCTGGCTAAGTGCAGATGGGCCCTTCCAGGGATGCAGCTGGCCACCGAGCTGGCATGGTCAGAAGTATTCAGCACATGTTCTCGCATTGAAATGCAACCAGAGGAAAAGTGTCCAATGTAATTGTGTCTCAAACAGGCTCGGCATCAATATAGAGAGACCCCTCAACTGCCAGCCTTTCCTCTGCAAGATGAGATCCAGCAACCAAGCTGGACTTTTTCCTTCTCTTTTATTACCCTAACGGTTCTCCAAGCCTTACTTCTCCAGGACCTACACCAACCCGCTGCCACTCCACTGTCTTGCAGCTGAAGCCCCTTAGCCCTCCTGCAGTCTCCTGATTGCCACTTAGCAAACAGCTGGGTGAAAGGGAGGGCCTCCAACCTCCCTCAGCTGTCAGCTTTGGGGTGCTGGGGGGGATAGAGAGTTGGACAGACTTGTTCCTTTTCCTGCTGTTTGAAAGAGATGCGTTTACATACCCAGCGAGCAGAATACATTCGTTTCTCTGCAGCGTTCTGCATAGATGTTCTCCATGGCTTCTCACACCTTAGAGCAAGCTGGATGCTAAGCACACCCGCCTCTTCCACCTCAGAGACTATCTTTTACTTCCAGGCTTTCCATCACTTTACTAGGAGAAATTGCAGTTCTACTTTGCCCTCAGTCTATTGAAATGGTTGAGACTCTCAGGTGCACAGGATGAAACATTTAACCCTTACCTGCATTTGTCCTCCTAGGTGATTTCCAAATGCTTTTTTTGGAGGGCAGGAAGTCCAAAGAGCTAGCAACTGCACTATATGCTAGGTGAGGGCACCTGCTCTCCCTAGAAGGTTTAGATGGCTTAAAAATGGTTTGGGGGTAATCTTTTCAACTGCCTTCTTGTCTAGAGGGATCCCAGCAGGAGATATATAGCTGAAAGAAAAGCATGGGGATTCTCTCCCCCTATTGCATGGCTGATCTCAGAGCTCATGTCTTCAGAGGGCACAAGGAGAATGGAGGTTTAGAGAGACTCAGACTAGACTCCTCTCTTCCACCCATAGGCACTGACTTATATATTTTGCCAGGGAGGGGCCCTAAGGCGTGGATATGTCCAACGCATTTCAGGTGACGGCCCTTGTCCTGAAGGGGGCCAGGGCCCTCCGGCCTCCACTGTTCTCGGGGCCTCTGCTTCCACCTGTAATTTTGCAAAGCTCCTTGCCTTCTCTCTTCTGGTATGTGTCGATTGAAACACAGCAGAACCCTTCATCTGAATTTGAAAGGATTCAATGAGAGCTTGAAGGCCAGGTCTCAGCCAGCTGCAAAGGCAAATGGCCAAGTTACAAACTTCTCAAAAGTTGAAATGCCCCTGAACACCACCTTCCTTACAGACAGCAGTGCTGGCTATATCGCTAGCATAATCCCATTTTACCTGCTGCTTTTCCTCTTTGGCAGTGGCTCCAAACAGAAACTTCAGAACTGTATTGGCTCTTGCTTTCCAGTATTTCTATATTGGATCTAGCCAGATGCCTGCATAATACAGAGCTGTGATATGGTCATCCCCCCATGGGGATATACCATGACCCCCAAGCTGTATAGATGCCTGTTCTTCATCCTGAAGGGAAGAGATTACAACTATCCCAGTGGCAGACTTTTCTGGGAAATGTTCGGTATGGTTGGCATCTGCTTAATAACACCATGTAGCTAAAAGGAAACAGGTGACGTATGGGAAGTGGAAATCCCTTCCCTTGACAATCCTTAGCACTTGGAAATCTTTTATGCTCTGAATCAGGAGGAAAAATTCAATCTCAGATATGTTTTGCAGGGAAGGATGGAAAGGACCATGCCCATGAGCCAGAGTTCTCTGGCTTCATTAGCCACCTGTAGCACCGGAGCTGGTGGCTCCCCAGGTGCACAGCCAGTGAACCCCAGCCCCTTGGGGGTCCTCTGCTGAGCTCCGGGAGCCCCAGCAGGGAGGTCTGCTTTTTGCTGGAGCTTCCCATGGAAACAGCATGCCCCCATGGAACATTTTGTTTCAGCTCTGTGATATACTGTTTGGGAAGCCAGTGTTATGGGGAATTAGCATCTCCACAGGTGCTTTTCACCCCTGGATCTCAACACACATTGCAAACGAAAAAATCATTCTCTCCATTTTGCTGGAAACTGCAGCACTGAGGAAGGAAAGCAAGTTTCCCAAGGTGACACAATAAATCAGTGGCAGAGCTGAGACTAGCTCCCTCTCCCCAAGTCTCCTAATTCCCCAACCGATTCCCTCACTGCTTGGCTTTTCATGACCCCTCAGTCAACCCAGGAACTGGATGGAGAAGAAACCCTGATGCTGCACAACCGCGTACGTGGAGGAGCAGGGCTCACCCTGCTGCCCTGCTGAGACCAGGGGGTATTAAATAGGGCTTGGCACCTCATAATCACAAGCCCCTTGCCTATTCCCTACTCACCAGAGGAGGGAAATGCTGGGAGGGTTTGTTGTATGTGAGAGGGAAGTGAACACCCAGGACACGGCTCTCTTCCCTTTTTTCATGCATACGGTTCTTAATGTGGTGCCTCCCTGCAGCCAGGGTTAAGACTAGAAAAGCAGAAGAGGAAGTGAAAGGAAAGCCCATTACCCCAATGTCTCCCAAAGTAAACCCAGCCTGTGCGCCCGCTACACGCTTCTGGTTGCATTGCAAGCTGAGGATGGTCGGCCTGCTAGGCAAGGCCCTTGCTGGCAGCGGGCTGACACTTGGCTGGCTTTCCACTGCTATTCTGCACGGACTCACAACACCTTTTCCAACGATTTAGTCGGTCTAATAAAAGAGTTTGCGTCTACCCAGAGAACCTTGGCAGAAGCTGCTTAAGCATCTAGGAACCGAGAGCTCAGCAAAAGGCAATGGGAATAAAGCTAAATCACTCCTGCTTTAGGGGTGCTGGTTGTAGCCGTGCTGGTCTAAGGACACAGGCAGACAAGGCTCTTCGGGTAGATGTGATATCTTTTAGTAGACCAACTAAATGTAGAGCAACTAATTTAGTTGGTTTATTAAACTAACTAAATCGGTCGCTCTAATAAAGGCTACCACATCTCCCCAAAGAACCTTGTCTGGCTCCATCTCTTCGGCACTTTACAGGCTGTCCTCTCGTTGGGCCCATGACCAGGTACCTTACGCGGGCAGTTCCCAGAGAGCTTTCAACTGGCGCACGGGCCCATTTGGGGCCTGCTGCACACACGTGCATGTCACCCTAGATCCGAAAAAGGTCCCTGAGTTCTTTACTGCAGCAGCTTCATGAGATTTCTGACCGTGCTGCCAGCCCTGCTCTTCTGGGGCCCTCTAGTGGGATGCTCCGATATGGTCTGGCTTCGGAGGGGGATGCTTCTTTTGGAGCTCCCAGGCTGCTGCACGAATGGAGGGAGATGAAGGCAAATTCAGCATGTGCCACTGATTTCCTACCCCTCTGCTTTTGCCCAGATCCCTGAGAATATTCACCAATTCCTGGACCTCAATTCAGGGGCCCAGCAACCTCCATCTCCCACTTTCGGATGTAACTTTCCCTCCCTTGCCCCGTTCTTCTTAAACACGCACGATCCCCAATGCACAAATCGACAGGCCATTTGCACGGAGAAGAGCAGCCTGGAAGGCTGAGGCAGCAGGGTGACTCTTTAATAAATTACCTCTTTCCAAATAACCAGCAGCATTAAAAATACGTATCTATTTATATTATGTATAGCACTGCATCTCGGCAGATCACATTGACTGATGTCTAACACCTTGATTTGCCCACTGGATTGCTTCTAAAGATCCAGAGATCTGGCTGTCCAGCTCGTTTCTTAGGCCAGCTTCCACCTGGCATACCTAACCCAAAGCATCTTCAGAAACAAAATAAGACTCCTTTTCCCCAGCACAGGGATGCACCTTCCAGTGGGAAAGGAGTAAAATTTCCGTCCGATTTCACTGAATCTAGCCCTTGATTTGCAAAAGAGATTTCAGAAGAAATGATCTGGTTTTCCACCTTCAAGGAAAAAAAAAAAACCATAATAAAATGTCCTCTTGGAGCAGAAGGGAAGGGGGGAAAAAATAAGCAAGCGCAAACTAGAGATTTGTAAACAGTCGCCTTGTCGATTCGGACCAGCGCAATGTCCACGGCCTTGATTCTGGGGGTCAGCGGGAGCTGGAAGAGTTCAGGGAGGGGCTGAGTCTTTGCTTCCGGTGGGGTCCGACATGGACCGCACGCAAGTGCATCGCAGTCTTGGCTGGCCTGAAGCAGCCTCAGTCATCGTCCTTGTTGGCAAACTGTCCTGCCTCCCAGCGCTGGGCCAGCAAGTTCTTGTGGCGAATCACTCTAGTGCTTTCGACCACCTAAAAGACCCATTAAGTGTGACATTAGAGGCAGATTTCTTAGGCACCGGCTTATTTGATCTCTGTCTTAACAATACTCCTGGGCCATGGGTGTGCCATGTGCAACAGCTGATGTGACGCACTCTCCCAGCTTGTTAGAAGAGCTGAGTGCCCACAACTCCTTGAATGTTCAGGCCCTGGTGACTTTAGGTGGGTATAGATGTGCAGCATAAATGCACCCATGCTAGCTTGAAGCCCCGGTGGGTACGGTCCTGTCTGCAGAACAGACACTGCTACAGCAACAACCGAGTTGGGCCTGAAAGCAGTGGCCCATGTGCCAGGCCCATGGGGGAACAGCTGAAGGACACCTGTGTTTGATCTGAAGCATCCCTGGTTCGTCACCATGATCTCTCCCAGCTGCTAATCCCTGTTGCGAAGGGCAGAGTGGCTCTCTGGCATGGGGGGAGCCAGAATTATTCACTCCCCTTCAGCCTCTAGGAGCAGAGGAAGCATCGGCCCAGAGGCAGGTTGCGCTAGATGAAGTCCTGGCTGCAAACTGCCCCCTCCAGCCATCACCTGTCCTCTGCAGAGAGAGGAGGCAGGCATGCACCCAAGCCACCCCATCCTCCAGCAAGCAGGTTATCCTCCATCACACCCCTCGGGCAGGTGATGCTACCACCCTGTTACACAGAACTGGAGCTGAGCTACAAGAGACTAAAACACCCATCCATAGAAATATTCAGGCACCTAAATGCCGGCAGGGGTTTCTGTGGGCATTAGGCACCTAACTACCTCTGTGTATCCAGGCCCACGGAGCTTGTGGCACCCCAAGTGCTTGAAGCTGGGTTTTTTGTGCCCGAGCCCAGCACCTTCATACTGAGATGCCCCTCCTCCTTGCCCAAAGGCAGTG